CCCCCTGACCTATTTTGGAAGATTCCCCCTGTAGAGGGAAAGGCCCGACTTGAATCTAGGAGGCCCAGACCTTCGCACGAGCCACTCGCGCCCGGGCGTGGCGATCTACCGGCAGCACCACCCGCTGCAACGACGAGCCGGCACGCCCCCCTCCGAATGTCGCTGCACGCCCCGTGGCCCCCCCCCCCCCCCCGGGACCGGCCGGCCGCGCGCGGCCGGCGCGTGCTGCTGTGCCTCCTGCCTGCCCCACTCCTTGAGCAGGGCCCGACCGTCCCGGCATTCCGATTGTCCTACCACGAAATGGTCTTTGAGCCCAACAATGTTCTAGGAACAAAAACAATGTTCTTAGAACCTAAATCCGATGTGTCAAGACAATCCCAGCCAGAAGTGTTTTAAGAATATTTCGTGGGAGCCCCAAAAGGTTCTTAGAACATTGTTTGGTAGGGCCATAGGCACGCCAGGAAGCTTCGCCACTGCTTGACCTCCCCGCGTGCCGTTCGCCACTGCTTGACCTCCCCGCGTGCCGTGCTTGCCTTATGTCGGGCATGTCCCCCTACAGGCAGATTTTGGGCGAAAGATTGAGAAGACCGGAAAAATGTCCCCAAAATAAACTAGAAATGTTCCAAGAACAGTCTCCAGACTATGTTTGTACTATTTTTGAAGATTCCCCCTGTAGAGGGACAAGCCCGACTTAATGTTTGCCCCTTCCCTGTGTGCCGCAATTCGCTCCGCATGTCAGGGGGCCAAGAGGGGAGCGCCCAAGAGGGGGGAGGGGGTGCATGGCCGGAGGCGCGGAGGCGTGTGCGCGGCCCAACGGGGGGCAAGGGACGTAATGAAATAAGAAGGGTCGCCGCGAAACCTGGGGAAATATCATGGCCCACGCCATGACAACCCCTCCCCCCTAATCATCCCCCCCCCCTCTTTGCCGCCCCCGGGCATGTGCCCCAGCGTAGCATGACCGCAGCTCGGGCCCGAGGCGCCGCCAATCGAACAGTTCTCCGACGCAGAGCACCGCCGAGGGAGCAGCCGACCGCGACGGCCAGGTCCAGACACCCAGGGGCACCAGCGCCCAGAGCGCCAGCCCCAAGGGCACCCACGCGTGCGAGAGCTGCCACCTGCGACAACCGGGGCCCCGTCACGCATGGGGCACCGGTGCGTCCGGGCACCAGCGCGAGCGGCGGGCTGCGTAGCGACCTGCTGCGCGGATCACAAGACACGATGTCAGCCCTGGTTCCCGGAGTGGCAGTGCGGTGCCAGAACGGTGTCCACGTCGGCTGGCTACGAAGGCCCTGCCCGGCCACTGAGGCAGCTGGTCAAAAAGGCTGTTTTGCCGGGTGTTGAACAACATTAGGCCAAGTTCAGCTGGAGCAGGTTAGATTAAGCCGGACTGTGCAGGCTGCATAAACACTACAGTATAAGGATGCGCGATAAGGATGCAAGAGCCTTGGACGCCCATTTCGAAGCTATTCGAGCGGAGCGCGGCCAACGAAAGTGACCAAGGATGGACCGAGGAGGCCAGGATGCCAGGGTACCCTTGGGAAGGTTGCCCGTCCTCACTATTCGGGTTGACTGTAGGGCCAAGAGCTGATTCAGCTTCCCAGGAGCTGCATTCGAGCAGGCACTCTTCAGCAGGACGAGCATGCCATCTCTGGTCTGAGCGTTTCTCTGGCTTGGGCCTCGCCCCTGTCTCTGTCTCCTCCTGCCCCTGCTGGTTTCCTACATGCTCTCTCTCTCTCTCTCTATCTATCTCTCTCTATCTCTCTATGCTCTCTCTCTCTCTCTGGGTCGGCACCCTGCGGAACTTGTCGACAACGGTCTTGTCGCCCGGGGGGCAGAACGCTTTCATCGCCCTTCGCCGTGCAGGCGCAGCGCAGCGGAGGGAAGGCTGCTGTGGGGAATGCGCTGCAATTGAGAGCGCGAAGTGTGAAATGGTACGGCGGGGGGGGGGGAAGGGGGGCGATGTTCAGAAGCGCGCGGAAGCGAGAAGCCTGAGAGAGAGGATCTGCAGTTCCTGCTGTCCGAGAGATGACGGAGCAGATGCAAGCGGCGTCACGATATGATTGCCGCACCAGGGCAGCACAGAGAGCGGCTCCACCAATGGGATCAGCAAACGCCCCGCTTACCACTCACTCGTCGAGGCGCACTCGGCCCAGCCGGCTATTGACCCTGTCCAGAGCAGTGGCGGACACGCCCTTCACAGCGCAGCCATGGTGTAAAAGACTATGTGCCAGGAGATTGGGATAGAAGCGAGGGCTCCTCCTCCTCCTCCTCCTCCTCCTCCTCCCCTCCTCCTCCTCCCCCTGCTTCTCCTCCTCCTCCTCCTCCTCCTCCTCCTCCTCCTCCTCCTCCTCCTCCTCCTCCTCCTCCTCCTCCTCCCCCGGTTCCATCATGCTTCGTAGCCGCTCGCTTCTTCCGTCTGCTGCTTCGATTTGGCTTGCAGCGACACCGCTGCGACGCTGCCTCGCACCGGGACCCTGCTTCTGAGGCACCCAGGCTTCGATGTAGTTCCACATGGCGCGGAGCCCGCTACACCTAAAGACGCAGAGATCGTCTACACTAGGGGAACGAAAAACGACATAAACATAAAAACTCGGAGGTCCGCGCGGATTTCTCGGATCGGCGCTGGATCCCCCTCCCTGGCGCGCTCCGCGCGCCAGGGGCGGCGCCGGAGGCGCCGCCGGGGGGCCCCAGCGCCGATCCGAGAAATCCGCGCGGACCGCCGACTTTTTATGTTTACGTCACTTTTTGTTTATGTTTTATGTTTATGTTTATGTCACTTTTTGTTCCTCTATACACACCACCACCACCACCCTGCCTGGCCAGAGCCCTCGCGGTCCCCAGGCTGGCGCGAGCGCCCTCCTCGCCGAGGCCAGGAGGGCCATGCACGCCCTCCTGCAGAGCAGACCTTCCCTGGCCCTGGCCGGGCGTGGCGGTGCACCGTGGCCTTCTGCGTGTGCTCGTGCCCCTGCCCCCTGCTGCTCCCCGCGTCCTCTTCCTTCGGCGCCTGCCGGCAGCGTCACCTCGAATTGCACGCGCAGGCGCGAGGTTCTCTGAGCCCTCGGCGGCACGACCCAGGGCCGCGAGCTCACGACGAGGAGCTGCGAAGCTCAACTCTTGAGATCCAGTGCCGCAGTATACTGGGCGAGTGCACTACCCTTGCGCTCTGGACGGCCGAAACGGGTGCGGAAGCACTGGCTACGATGCACAACAACAACTGTTGTCCCAACGCCGACAGCGGCCGCTGTTGGGCGGGCGGCCTCCCGTCTCAAGTGGACAACGTCCGCGGCGGCGCGGACAGCGAGCCCTGCTCAAAATCAACAGGACATGCTGTTGGGCATTGTACCCACACTTTCCGTACCCATTTCTGCGAGGCGGGGATTTATCCATATCCACCGCCTGGGAACCGACGCCCTGGTGCCCCAGCGGGCGGTGGATATGGATATGGATATGGATATGGATCTATATATATATATATATATATATATATGTATATATGGCCCCCGGGGGCCCGGATATGTCCATATCCACCGCCTGCCGAGGCTCCGAAAACTGACCATCCAGGCGGTGGATCTGGATAACTTCCCGCCTCGGAATTTCGATCGCCCCGATGCGCGCTCCCACGACCAGCCCAGCTCCTCGGCACGCCCCGCTCCCGCACCCGCGGCACGAGCCGCTCCCTCTACGACCGGCGGAGCGGCGTCGTCGTGTACATGTCGGCGTCCGCCTCCCCCCGGCAGCCAAACGATCTTTGGGGACAGAAGGGCGAGGACCGGACTACAGTCGGGGCGTTGACCTAAGGAACCCTAAATACGGAACGATGCCCCATTTTTCCACAAGTTAAACTTCGACTTCCCATCGAAAACATAAGGAAAACCTGCGGCAAGCTGTGAAACGATTAAAGAACAGGGAGCCCCTCCCTAACGAAAAGGGCTCCTTATTCAAAGCCCCGACTGTATCGGCGGCGAGCGAGGGGGGGAACTGCGAAGGAGAAGGCCTTCTCAGATGGCGGCGGGGCTTCTCAGACGGCCTCCGGCCTTCTGAAAGGTTTCTGTGTCTTCGGGGAAGGCTCAGCATACTTCTCAGAAGGCTGGGGGACTTCCGAGCCTCCTGAGAAGGCCTTCTCCTTCTCACTTCCCCCCCTCACTCGCCGCCGAGACTAAGCAAGGAGCGTACAGGTGCTCAAGCCGCCCGTCTGTGCGCGAGGAGGGGGGCAAACATAGAGTTCCATTACGTCTCCCCTCCACTTCCCAAGGCCGCGCTGACGGCGTGCTTGATTAACGGCGCGGTTTGGAATATTGTTTTGCGACACCGAGCTCACGCAAAACATAATGTAGGGATTCACGAAACACCGTTTCCTACATTTCAGGTATGCGAATATATCGAACGAAAACGGCACAGCGAGTTGTAGGAAAACGCGAACCACGTGTTCTTACAATTCGTTTGGCCACGAACAACGCCTTCCTACAATTGGTTTTCCCACTTCGCCGTTAGCTAACACACCGCTAGCGCGTCTACGGACTTCCGCAGAGAACGCGTCCGTCACAATTGGCCAGGTCATTTTCGGCATGCTGGTGGTTGCAACGGGGCCTTCAGCCAACCCAACCCGATACAACAACACACTTGCAACTGTTCGAAGAGGTCGTGGAACGTCATCGCCAAAATACTGGGAGGCGGGGACGCTGAAACCACGGGGACGACTGACAGGTTTGGCAAGGTCACCCTCCAAGGCATGAGCCTCGAAGCCCCTCCCGTCGAGGCCTTCTGGTATGTCAACCAGCTGTCGGTATGGGTTGTCGTCGTGTTCTTGGCCATCTCGTCCTCCCAAGGCCGCGCGGCAACGATTACCAGACAGAACCACCAAACACCGACTCTGCTCTCCATGCCCATGCTGCCCGCGAGCGCGCGACAAGGCGTGCATCAGACGTGTGCGGCTGCCTGGTTAGGCGCGGCTGCTCGCGGCAGCGTGCGACACAAAAGCCGGCCTGACCCGACTGCGTCGC